GCCAACACAAGGGCCAAGTACCAGCACCCATCGCACGTCATGTGCGCACACCCCCCCGGCCCCCCTCCCAATCGCCGGAACCCCAATGCCGCCGGTCAGGTTCTCCGGCGGTACTCCGGCGATGCTCCGGCGATGCTGTCCCGAGTGAAAAAAATGCGGCACCAGCACATGCTGGAGCCAAGCATGGGCACCGTGGCTCAAAATCGAACTTCGGCCAAGGCCTCGACCATCAATGGCACATGATGACGCATGGTGATGGCACATGCATCGACCATCATCGGCATAGGCTGCCCTTCGGTACGGGCACTTGCCTCGACCGCCATCGGCACAAGCTGGGCCCTGGTGTGGGTTGTTGCCTCGATCACCAGCGGCACATGCTGAGCCTTGGTGCGGGCGGTTGCCTCGAGCACCATCGGCAGACCCTGGGCCCTGGTGCGGCCGGTTGCCCCGATAACCATCGGCACACGCTGGGCCCTGGAGCGGCCGGTTGCCTCGATCACCATCGGCAAAAGCTGGGCCCTGGTGCGGGCGCTTGCCTCGACCACCATCGGCACACGCTCGGCCCTGGTGCGGTCGGTTGCCTCGAGCACCATCGGCACACGCTGGGCCCTGGTGCGGCAGGTTGCCTCGACCACCATCGGCACACGCTGGGCCCTGGTGCGGGCGCTTGCCTCGACCACCATCGGCACACGCTCGGCCCTGGTGCGGTCGGTTGCCTCGAGCACCATCGGCACACGCTGGGCCCTGGTGCGGGCGCTTGCCTCGACCACCATCGGCACACGCTGGGCCCTGGTGCGGCAGGTTGCCTCGACCACCATCGGCACACGCTGGGCCCTGGTGCGGTCGGTTGCCTCGAGCACCATCGGCACACGCTGGGCCCTGGTGCGGGCGCTTGCCTCGACCACCATCGGCACACGCTGGGCCCTGGTGCGGCAGGTTGCCTCGACCACCATCGGCACACGCTGGGCCCTGGTGCGGTCGGTTGCCTCGATCACCATCGGCACACGCTGGGCCCTGGTGCGGGCGGTTGCCTCGACCACCATCGGCACACGCTGGGCCCTGGTGCGGCAGCTTGCCTCGAGCACCATCGGCACACGCTCGGCCCTGGTGCGGTCGGTTGCCTCGAGCACCATCGGCACACGCTGGGCCCTGGTGCGGCAGGTTGCCTCGACCACCATCGGCAGCCTCGACCACCATCGGCACACGCTGGGCCCTGGTGCGGGCGCTTGCCTCGACCACCATCGGCACACGCTCCGCCCTGGTGCGGTCGGTTGCCTCGAGCACCATCGGCACACGCTGGGCCCTGGTGCGGCAGGTTGCCTCGACCACCATCGGCACACGCTGGGCCCTGGTGCGGGCGGTTGCCTCGACCACCATCGGCACACGCTGGGCCCTGGTGCGGGCGCTTGCCTCGACCACCATCGGCACACGCTGGGCCCTGGTGCGGGCGCTTGCCTCGACCACCATCGGCACACGCTGGGCCCTGGTGCGGCAGGTTGCCTCGAGCACCATCGGCACACGCTGGGCCCTGGTGCGGTCGGTTGCCTCGACCACCATCGGCACACGCTGGGCCCTGGTGCGGGCGCTTGCCTCGACCACCATCGGCACACGCTGGGCCCTGGTGCGGCAGGTTGCCTCGAGCATCATCGGCACACGCTGGGCCCTGGTGCGGCAGGTTGCCTCGAGCACCATCGGCACACGTTGGGCCCTGGTGCGGTCGGTTGCCTCGATCACCATCGGCACACGCTGGGCCCTGGTGCGGGCGGTTGCCTCGACCACCATCGGCACACGCTGGGCCCTGGTGCGGCAGCTTGCCTCGAGCACCATCGGCACACGCTCGGCCCTGGTGCGGTCGGTTGCCTCGAGCACCATCGGCACACGTTGGGCCCTGGTGCGGCAGGTTGCCTCGACCACCATCGGCAGCCTCGAGCACCATCGGCACACGCTGGGCCCTGGTGCGGGCGCTTGCCTCGACCACCATCGGCACACGCTGGGCCCTGGTGCGGTCGGTTGCCTCGAGCACCATCGGCACACGCTGGGCCCTGGTGCGGCAGGTTGCCTCGACCACCATCGGCACACGCTGGGCCCTGGTGCGGGCGGTTGCCTCGACCACCATCGGCACACGCTGGGCCCTGGTGCGGGCGCTTGCCTCGACCACCATCGGCACACGCTGGGCCCTGGTGCGGCAGGTTGCCTCGAGCACCATCGGCACACGCTGGGCCCTGGTGCGGCAGGTTGCCTCGAGCACCATCGGCACACGCTGGGCCCTGGTGCGGCAGGTTGCCTCGAGCACCATCGGCACACGCTGGGCCCTGGTGCGGGCGCTTGCCTCGAGCACCATCGGCACACGCTGGGCCCTGGTGCGGTCGGTTGCCTCGAGCACCATCGGCACACGCTGGGCCCTGGTGCGGGCGCTTGCCTCGACCACCATCGGCACACGCTCGGCCCTGGTGCGGTCGGTTGCCTCGAGCACCATCGGCACACGCTGGGCCCTGGTGCGGGCGCTTGCCTCGACCACCATCGGCACACGCTCGGCCCTGGTGCGGTCGGTTGCCTCGAGCACCATCGGCACACGCTGGGCCCTGGTGCGGGCGCTTGCCTCGAGCACCATCGGCACACGCTCGGCCCTGGTGCGGTCGGTTGCCTCGAGCACCATCGGCACACGCTGGGCCCTGGTGCGGCAGGTTGCCTCGACCACCATCGGCACACGCTGGGCCCTGGTGCGGGCGCTTGCCTCGACCACCATCGGCACACGCTCGGCCCTGGTGCGGCAGGTTGCCTCGAGCACCATCGGCACACGCTGGGCCCTGGTGCGGGCGGTTGCCTCGACCACCATCGGCACACGCTGGGCCCTGGTGCGGGCGCTTGCCTCGACCACCATCGGCACACGCTGGGCCCTGGTGCGGGCGCTTGCCTCGAGCACCATCGGCACACGCTGGGCCCTGGTGCGGCAGGTTGCCTCGAGCACCATCGGCACACGCTGGGCCCTGGTGCGGTCGGTTGCCTCGAGCACCATCGGCACACGCTGGGCGCTGGTGCGGGCGCTTGCCTCGACCACCATCGGCACACGCTGGGCCCTGGTGCGGCAGGTTGCCTCGATCACCATCGGCACACGCTGGGCCCTGGTGCGACAGGTTGCCTCGAGCACCATCGGCACACTATCGGCCCTGGTGCGGGCGGTTGCCTCGACCACCATCGGCACACGCTGGGCCCTGGTGCGGGCGCTTGCCTCGAGCACCATCGGCACACGCTGGGCCCTGGTGCGGGCGGTTGCCTCGAGCACCATCGGCACACGCTGGGCCCTGGTGGGTTTAGGCACATCTTCAAATTTCTGCCGTGCCAATGCCATTTTTATGGCTTGTAAATTCATACAATGGTCCCCTAAGCCTTCACGTGAAGTTTCGTTGGAAGATGACTCGTTTTCTATTTTTCATGATTTTCGAAACTTTTTGCGGTTCGGGATTTTTTAAAATTTTTTTATAAGGATTTTTGGCCCCAAATTTTGTAGGCATGATCCTTCTATTTTTGTTGGCATGCACAAAAAATTCAGCTAAAAACTCGAAGTAGAGAAGATTTTGTGACCGTTTGAAAAAAGTGTCCCCATTTCAGACACTTTAACGGCTACTGGTAGCAAACCTGTAAAATCTCAAATGCTCTTTAAGGGGGTGTGAATTCTCAGAGGTTTGATGAGGGATAGGGGGCCAACACAAGGCCAAGTACCAGCACCCATCGCACATCATGTGCGCACACCCCCCGGCCCCCTCCCAATCGCCGGAACCCAATGCCGCCGGTCAGGTTCTCCGGCGGTACCGGGATGCTCCGGCGATGCTCCGGCGATGCTGTCCCGAGTGAAAAAATGCGGCACCAGCACATGCTGGAGCCAAGCATGGGCACCGTGGCTCAAAATCGAACTTCGGCCAAGGCCTCGACCATCAATGGCACATGATGACGCATGGTGATGGCACATGCATCGACCATCATCGGCATAGGCTGCCCTTCGGTACGGGCACTTGCCTCGACCGCCATCGGCACAAGCTGGGCCCTGGTGTGGGTTGTTGCCTCGATCACAATCGGCACATGCTGAGCCTTGGTGCGGGCGGTTGCCTCGAGCACCATCGGCAGACCCTGGGCCCTGGTGCGGCCGGTTGCCCCGATAACCATCGGCACACGCTGGGCCCTGGGGCGGGCGCTTGCCCCCAGCACCATCGGCACACGCTGGGCCCTGGTGCGGGCGGTTGCCCCGAACACCATCGGCACAAGCCGGCCCTTGGTGCGGGCTCCTGGCTCGACCACCATCGGCACACGCTGGGCCCTGGTGCGGGCGGTTGCCTCGAACACCATCGGCACACGCCGGCCCTTGGTGCGGCCGGTTGCCTCGACCACCATCGGCACACGCTCGGCCTTGGTGAGGGCGCTTGCCTCGACCACCATCGGCACACGCTGGGCCCTGGTGCGGGCGCTTGCCTCGACCACCATCGGCACACGCTCGGCCTTGGTGCGGGCGCTTGCCTCGGCACAAGCCGGCCCTTGGTGCGGGCGGTTGCCTCGAGCACCATCGGCACACGCTGGGCCCTGGTGCGGGCGGTTGCCTCGACCACCATCGGCACACGCTGGGCCCTGGTGCGGACGGTTGCCTCGAGCACCATGGGCACACGCTGGCCCTTGGTGCGGGCTCTTGCCTCGACCACCATCAGCAGAAGATTGCCCCTACGTCGAACACCATCGATACATGCCGGGCCTTGGTGTGGGCACATGCCTCGAGCTGGTGCGGGCGGTTGCCTCGACCACCATCGGCTCACGTTGGCCCTTGTTGCGGGCACATGCCTCGACCACCATCGGCACCTGCGCACCCTCGGTGTGGGATTTGCTTGTTTGGAAAAAGTGTCCCCGTTTTAGACATTTTAACGTCTACTGGTAGCATATCTGTAAAATCTCTAATGCTCTTTAGGGGGTGGTGGTCCGGCACCCCCTCTCCCCCCCCCACGGGGGGAGTAGGTGTG